TGTTTTGGGCAGACCAAGCAATGGAGAGCAGCGGCAGATCTGCCGGCTTTCGGAGAGCTTCAACAAGACAAACAGGGGAAATCTGCCACTGCTCAATCTACCACTTGGTCCGACCAAAACGCATAGGAAAAAAAAGAGAAGGGCAGATTCGTTGCTGTTCTCCGCTGGTAGTTGCTGTTGTTGTTGGTGTTTTTAGTGAGCATGTTGCCACAATCTCCATTTCTACAGAAGAAGAAGAAGAAGAAGAAGAAGAAAGGGCATTTCTCATGTATTGTGGTTCTAGTTGATCCGTTGTCAAGCTTTTGTTTTCCGATCTTGATTGAAGCATCGATTCAGGTAAACAAAACACCCTCCTTAGGTCTTCTTAATCTTGCGAACCCTCCTTCTCATGTTGATACATTGATGCAGATGCCAATGCCGGTGCAAGAGATAACCAACCTCGAGCCCCCTCTCTCTCCCTCTCAAGCTGATACCAGAATCGTCTCTCCAAAATGAAAAGGGTATATTTGAACATAAAAGGGTAAATTGGGTATTTTTGAAGTTATAACAATCACGTGATGGCACATGTGAGCAGTTTGTGATGGAACATTAACAGTAAGAGAAATATTAATTAATTGTCAGAAACAGTAGGAGTAGCATTAGTCAATTTTCAAACAGTAAGGGTACACTTAGTCAATTTGCTAAACCATAAGGGTAGTTTAAGATATTTATCCTATTTTAAATTGGCTCCAATCCAAACTGGATCCATTGACACATGTATTTTTCTCTTCTATCAATGGATTGGATATTGGTCCAATCTAACCCATTCCAATATAAATTCATTATAGATGGACTAGGTCCAATCCAATAAATACTTTGGACCATCAAGTCTGGATTGGTCCATTTCAATATGTCTTATTGGTTTATCCAATCCACCCAAATTGATTTTGATTTGGACTATGCCCAATCCAAAACCGGTCCATTGACATCCCTTCTTGCAAGGTGATTCTATAATTGGCCAGTGAACAAGGTATTGATAGGAAATCTTCTTTTTAACGAATTAATTATTTCCTTTTTAGTGGAAAAAAGTTTTTGACAAATTTAGGGGGTGTTCTTTTTCTGGATTTTGAAAGGAGGAAAAGTTGGTCAATGGGATTTTGATTCCCATTGACCAAAAATCCCATGTTCTTTTTTCAAATTTATATGAGGACCAGGGAAAGTTTATTTTCCCAAGCAAGTGATACCCATCTCCTACGTGGGTAAATAACTTTTCCACTTTGAGGGAAGTTGCCAACACTTGAAATGGACAAAAGTGCCCCTTATAATAATGGGTTTTTATGGATAGAATGGTCATTGCCTTATTTACATGGGAAATAAAAGAACATGGGTAAATGCACTTACTCGGGTAAATCTTTCCCGGGAAACAATTACCTAGGTAAGTGCACTTACCTAGGTAAATAACTTACCGAACTGAATAACCATCTTATTGTTTTGCCTTAGTGAAAATATAAACAGCTAATTAAAGTGACTGAACTGAATAACCATCTTATTGTTTTGCCTTTTAATGGATTGTTAGAAGAAACCGGTATGTGCACAAACTGGTTTAAAAAGATGCATATGTTACATTCAGTTTTTTATTTAACTGAATTGGATGTGGGCGAGCTTAACTTAAATAATTTCATATTTATTTTTTAAATTCATAAAAACCACAAAATTCTAAAGAGGTTGGAAAGCAATATGAGGAACCTGATGTGGACAATTGCATTTTAGAATATAGTATAGATCTATTTCTTTGTCACGCTTTCTCACGTTTGATATGCGTGGAATTCCAAAGCTTAGTTTGTCACTTATTGGGAGAAAATGTATGATCCTTTTTTTTTTTAAAAAAAAGGGGAACCTTAGGTTTAATTGTTTAAGAGAGTTCATGAATTCTTATGCTCCTTTTAATTCCTTTTTTTTTTCAGTAAGAATAAACAAATATCAATTCCCTGTTTAAAAGGAGCGAAGTAACCCTAGGGTTTAAAATGGTATTATCAAAGGAAAGGTGAAATGAGTGTGATAGATCCCCTACCCACAATAATAGGGGCATAAATATATTAAATTCGAACCCAATTAAAAAATTTGATATCCGAATTCAATTTGATATATGATGGATATTGAAAATTAATATTTAAATTTGAATTTGATTTGATTCCAATTCGATCAATTAATTATTTTATATAATTAATAAATATATAAATTATTTATTTAATTTAACTATTATATATATAAATTATATAAAGCATTTAAATATTTTATATGTTATATATAAGAATTAAATAATCGGTCAAATTCAGATATTTATCGAATCGAATGAAATCATATCTGAATTCGAATCCGATTATCTAACCAGTATGAATAAGATATCTGAATTCAACTAATTACAATATCAAATTATCCAAATTTGATTTGATTATATTAAATCTCAAATTCAAAATCGGATTTTCAAATACCATTACCATTAACACCCCTACACAACAACCCTAGTCACACATCACTACAGCACTTTTAGAACATCTCACTTATTTACATATTACCATTCTTCCAAAAGCCTGGGAAAAGAAAAATCAATAAGTCAAGCCCTGGTAAATGAATCTCTTAACAATTTAGACATTGATCATCAGTATTTAATGCCATTACCCATGTTGGTCCAAGCTAGATATCTGATGTTTTGTAGGGGGTAGACTGAATGCGGTTTAACTTTTGACTTTTTCTTTTTCTTTTGATCAACATCTGTACATGAAAAAAATGAATTGTTAAAGCGACTAGTTTATATTGACCAGGATTTCTCTACTTGCAAATTGAATAAGTTCTCTTTAAGCCACATGTTCTTGAGGCGATTTTTTAAAAAAAGAAAACAAAAAATCTAGGCCAGAGTGTGCAAAAGGAAGAATTCTATCTTCTTTTGCTCCATGATGATAATAGATCATTAGTTGAAACCAGGTTACGTATGAGAGAGAAGCTTTTTACAGGGATGAATCGAGTTATACATCAGCCAATCGTTGAGGAACATTGGATCATGGAGGTTGTTCCATATTTTTTTTTGAACTTATCATACTGTTTTTGAATCCTAATCTGTTTCTATGCAAGCTTTTAAGACCCATACCCAGAAACAGTTATTACAAGTCATAGGGCTAGCATAGGTCTGAATTCAAATTCGAATCTAATATGTGGCTCAAGTGAAAAGCTTATTGCTTTGTCTTTTTATGGACACATTTTTAATATGTTGTGGGCTCTTTATGACTGAAGCTGAAGTTTGATAGATAACTATCTCCTTTCATATTTATTATTTAATTTATAAAAGGACAAAGCAATAAGTTGTTCAGTGCAGAAACTTCAGCCAAACAGAACCTTTTCAATCTGAATATTGATTGCATCTTTAATAAAGAGCCTTGGATTCAAATCCCTCAAAAGTTAATTTTTAGGGTATATAACAGATTGTTACCTTGCACTTTTGGGGTAGTGGCAATTACCTCCTGAAATTTTAGATTTCGACAAAGACCCCTTTTGAAAAAAATTCTCATGTGGTTGTTTAATTTTTTTTAAATCTCTAAATTACCCTTTCCAATGCTTTTTAGTGTTTTCCTTTCAATTTCCATTTGTTACTGGTTCAATTAATTGCATATTGTGTTTGTTGCAAATCTAAGTTTTCATAAAAGTTTCTTGATTTTTTTTATTGTAATTTTCATTTTATAGAAGTTTCTTGGGAGGATATTTTGGTAAATTAACTTCTTCTCTCACTCAACTTGACGGAGATTCGATGGAGAGGGGGTCTTTGTTGCAAATGAAAGTTTAGGGAGTAATTGCCACTACACCTAACGAACAGGATAATAATCTGTAATTTATCCTTATTTTTAAATCATTTTATTTATGATATACAATATCAAAATCATTTTTAGTTGACTTTATTAGTATTGTTTTTTTAGTTTATTTTTTTGAAGGGTATGTAATGTCTGAATGGGATCCAAATCCGATATTAAAGTCTTAACCCAGCAGATAAGATTAGGTTTCAATTGCCAATCGAAATAATAAAAGCTGAATTCGGATCTAGGCATACCCAGTTGGAATCCGATCCGTTTGCAGCCCTAAACTAAGCACCCTAATTTTGCTACGTATTGTACAGACAGAATTCTCTTACAGGACGGATTCAGCAAATATCAAGTAAAATTAGCTCGTACAAGGGTGGACGAACGTCTATAATTAGTTTGGAGAAAAGATGCATGGTTCATGTTTGACTGACCTGAACCCAGAATCTGGCTGGATTGGATGATTGGGTAATTGGGTTTCCTTAAAAAAAAAAAAAAAAAGAAAAAACCTAAAATGATTAGTTGCAATCCAACTTCCCATGCTGATCAGTTAGTTATTACTTATTAGCCATGAATGCCCTTTCCTCTGTTTGTGGGACTGTCGGTATAAGTAACCCAAATTCATATCTTCTCCAGCTGTTAAAATTGGATGAGTCACAAACCAAAACTTTGAGCCAATCAACTGAGGTAAGGTTAGATGGTTCCAACCAATTGGACCTTTGAATCTCTTTGCCATGTATTTATTTACGATTAAAGTGGGGGCACTTTGATTGGAAAATTGAGGACTATTGGATGTGATATTGTTGGTATGCATTCACTGTACATGCAAATGCAAGCTGGACTAGAAAAAGAGGAGGAGAGAATTAAAAAACAAGCAAAATAGAACAAGCCAAAGCCCAGAGGGGGTGAGTTTTGGTAGCTTGAGATGTGAAAAGGTAAAAGAGGAGAGATAAAAAAGAGAGATTCCTAATTCCTAATCCTGTGGATTGCAATCTTTCTTCCTCAACCAATTAGGGAGTGTTTGGTGAGTAAGGCACCGAAAAGGGTGGGGGATGTGTGTATATCCACTTTCAAAGCTCTATTGACTGCACACAGAAAAAGCTATTTAAATCTCTACCAAGAAAGAAATAACTCAATAAACATTTAAATGGGGTTACAGATATATCTACTACTACCACTACGGCACTACCAGCCCAGCTTGTTGAAAAGGATAGATATCTCCTTAGCTTCCTGCCACACCGGCCACTCACTCATTCGGTACACACGGAAACACCATAAAGGAAATGCCTTTTCTTTTCCTTTATTATATATGAGAGAGAGGAAAAAAAGACAGAGAGAGCTTCAGAGTATGGGCTGAGAGAAAGGAAAGGAATCTCTTGTGTAAATCTTCTATCATCAGAAATGAGGTGAGCAGTTTGTATTCAGACCATCAATCAGTAAATTAAAATGGAAAAAAAACCCAGTGTTCTGTTCTTTTGTTTTTGTTTTTTTTTTTTTTTGTTTTATGTCTCCATGTTCATCAGGTCTGATGTTTTTCCCTACTTTTTTAGTAGAGCTGATTTAATATGTGTTTCAGATCTTCACGCAGTTATTGGGTTATCCTAAAGCTTCTGCTTCTTCTCTTCTTTTTGTTTCGTCTTCGTTTGAAAAATCATGGTTTTAAGTGTTAACAGATTGGTCTTCTTTTTTTTTTTTTTTCTTTATTTCATTTTTTCTCGATCAGACTGTAGAATTAAAGTTATGGGTGGTGAACATGCTAATTGTATTGTGTATTCCTCATTAACGATTGACGATGTTGCATATAGATATGGCGAAACTGCTGGTTGATGTCTTATTCATTTCTTTCTTCGTTAGAATTAATTTTCCCTTTATATTATTATTCTACTTCTGTTAGAGGAGGAAAGGTGATCTTTTAGCAATTCTGTTCTGATTATAGATCAGTATTTTCGTTTTCTGATCAAGCTTTGGTTGTTTTTCAATATGGTAGATGGAACTAAGAAAATTGATGAAGATGCCAAAGTTAGTAGTCTCATTGCTTCGTTCATAGATTTAATATTTAGGGAGAGGTGTCCCTCTTGGAAGCTCTGGTTCGGTTTTCTTTTACCAATGAGATTTAATAAGGTAAAGTGGTATTTGTTTGATACAACGGCTTTCTAGTTTCAAGCAACCCTTAGGAGCACCAACCATAGGTATACCTAGCTATCTCTGTTAAGAGTCCCTGGAGGTTGAATCCATCATGTAGCTGTATTTCAAGATGTTCTCAGTGGTCGCTCATATATAATTCCAAGTTAGTGAAACTAAAGCGTTGGTAATACTAGCTCTCTTTTAAAATGGGTCAGAGAGAGAAACTTCAGCAACAATGGGAATTCAGGAGGAGAGGTAGCCAGTTTGATTCTTCGGACAATGAAGCCGTGTCAAATTCTAGTGATGAGCCACTTATCAAGAAGCATAGATTGATTTCTGATTGGATTCCACCCAAAATCAATGAAGTAGGCAGTTTTAGTGGATTTCAGCCAAAGGGAAGATATACTTCTGGTACAGCTATTCATTTTAAATCTGAGAAAGCTAATAAAATGAGGACTGGGTCTAGCAAGAAAGGAGATGACCCAGTATACAGGGAGGCTAAGGGAAGACCCTCCTACGAGGAAGATGATTGCAAGAACAACTGTGATGTGCAAGATGATGCCACACTGAATGATACTCGCATCTTAATGAAGTCCATATTGGAGGAGCTGAAGGTTGCCAGAGAGAATTTGTTTGTATGGATGAGAGAAGAGATGCACAAAGTCATGGTTGATGATGACGATGCTCCAGTGCCAAATGCCAGAGCAGGGAATCATCAACAGGAGATGATCAAGGAGCAATCTCTGAAAAGCTTTGAGTCAGAATCAGATGTCCAGTATTACAGTGGGAAAGCTTTGATGGGTTCTGTAAAGCGAAAAAGAACTGTCAAACCTCATAAAGGACATCAGGTCCCTGAAGATCAAGACTTCCACAAAGCCATTGGATCTGTTGATGCAATCAAGACAAAAAGAGAAAGGTTTACATCATCTGCTGAAGGGATCTTGATATTGTCTGGTTCTTCTGATCAGGATGGTTACAAGAATTCGGCTCTAGAACATGCTATGCCTGAGACATGTGTTGAAAATCAGAGGTTTGAATCTTCTTCATGTAACTATTCTCAACCAAGAGTGATTGGGGATAAAATTGCTACAAATACTGGAAATGCTAGTGAAACACCACTCAATTCAAGCATGCAGCCTAGAGGTTTATTGGGATTCCAGCAAGAAGATTTTGGACATTTTGTTCATATAGATTCTCAAGATTTTGGTTACATTGACCAAAACAAGTTAAATCTGGCTTCAAGATTTGGAGCTGGGTTTCCTATTCCACTTCATCATGATCTAGATGGAGCTTTCAAGACAGACGCTCAACCCATGCAAACTCCATCTCATGTTCACAACGACATATCAGATATGAGCATGAATGGAGGAAGTATGAGAAACCATGGTGTATCAGGACTTTGCATGCATAACAATCTTCGCAGTCATTTGAACTGTGATGCTGATGCTGATGCATTGACTCAAGGCTATCTGGTCCCCAGATCTCAAAGAGAGTTTGGTTATACATGAAGTAGAGTGCTAGAAGTCAATTTCTAGTTATTGATCCTACAGGACTTACTCCCTTCTACAATTAGATTACAAAAAGAGCTCCTCTTCATTATTGTGGCGTATGGCCAATTTCAAAGAAGGGATGGTAAAGAACAAGAACATTATTGCATTGTCTAATGACAGGATCAATATCTTGGGATTGGGAGTAGACTCTCATTTTGTGAAAGGTATTGGGGATGAATGGTTTGATCTACTTTTCATGTTAAATGTCTTTCCCTTCTACTTATTTTCTCACTCATGGACTGTAAAGTATCTTTTGTGATTCACTGAAACAACCACCTTTTGTATTCTTTAAGATTCTTGTTTCTTTATAGCTTTTGGCCCTCTTCCATTTACCATTATTGAGTATCATTCTTGTTTATAGTCATTCCCAATGGTACAAAAGTATTGGAACTTAAGTACCAACCTTAAATTAATGTCATTCAACCAAACAAAAAAACTTAAATTAATTTTACTAGCTAGATGAGTATTTCATTTCAATCTTTGCTATATGCTTCTATCATCTCCTTTGAATCTTATCATGGGTCGCATGCTGTAAAGTTTCTGGAGGAAGCAACTATAATTTGGTTTAATAGGGAGGAAATCAACTTAGGCTTTGTGTCATTTAACAGTTTACATATTGGAGGGCTATTTGTGTTTATACGTGGATAGTCAGCCACTTGTATGGCATCTACTTTTTGTTGTTGAGTGTCTGAAGCTAAATCCACAAGCTTTGGATCTGCTGTTAATGGGTTACAAACTTTGTTATGCCTTATCCTTCATCCACTCGGCAAAACATTTTCATCGTACATCAGGACTCGGTTCTGTTTCTGATACGACTTTAACCATTTAGGGAAATATTATCTCTATTCCTATTTGCAGTTCCAATGTACAAAAGCCTCCCATATTCATTGGGAGGTTAAAGCGTGCAAGCAGATGCTTCAGCTAATTGAGTTGCAGAGCAATATCATTTTTTTTTTAGAAAAGGTAAAGTCCATTCTATTTAATGACCCTTGTATCTTTTTCTGAGTGCCAACAGTCACTCTCTTTCCCTTTTTGCCATTGAAATATAGGAAAATGTTAATATCTCTTTCCTTACTTTCTTTCATCCTCACTTTCTTATGGCTCTGTATTTGCATGATAAACTGCCTGAAAATCTGTACTTTGATAGCAATTTGCAATTAGAATAGCTTTTTATCATTGTCAGAATATGCAGCTTTGTAGCTAACTTGTCAAGTGTCACCTTTGCATTTAATGTTCTCACAGATCCTCCACCTCCACTGAGTTAGAACTGACTGTTGATACCAACTATCTTGTTTAGACATAACAGATCTGAGTTCCTGTTGAAGTGACAGGAAGAGAGAAATCCATACATTATAATCACATGACTCTCTTCTCTTGACTAGTTTTGCTTTGGCATATGATGCCATGTATTCAATCCAGTTGTAGAAAAGAGATCGTTCCCTGCTCCTATCTTTGATCTGAAAAATAGAAGTTTCAAAATTCAATGGTTGCCTATCTGGATGAACCCTCTAATACTGTATTACAAACATCCACCACCTTTGTGGTCCATCTCTTATTAGCTGCAAGATTAGAAATTTCAATTCAACTAAATCTTGATTAATAAGATTAACAGTGTCAAATCAACTAAATACTGATTCTAATTTTGTGTCAGTAGATTGGTTCATGAATCCATATATCCACCAAAATATAAATCTGTATGTTTGAAATTCGACCCTCTCTTGATTCATGGCTACCTATAGATTATTGTAGATGTAATGTGCTTTGAGAATCCATTATGAGGGTGCTGACCAATATTAATATTTTTATTTTTTTCTTGTTTCAAGAAAATGTAACGTCAGAAAAAGAAAAATAGGGAAAATATATGATACTGGAAATGCATGGTACCAGAAGAGCTTTGACCAATCAAATCAACCCTGTGAATTGTCATGAATACAACCTGGTTGGTCGCCTCTTTTATGATACCAGTCGATTGGTTGTAAGTTTTTCCGATATCATGTCTTTCTGGTATCATAGTCGAATAGACATTCTTGGATGCATGTTTTTCCAAAATAAAGGAAAATCATTTTTAGTTTAATTCAGGAAAACACCCCGTCTCTCTGAAACAAAGAGATGGATATTTCTTAAAAAGTTTTCATATCCAAGCAGCAGCTGACATGGGCTACTATTTTGTGGAGTTCGGACTGCTTACAGAGCACACCTGACACCGACCTCACAACATGTTTCAGCCATGCATTGGGAATATCTTCTTATGAATAAAAATTTATAAACATGTTCTAGATGCATGGCTGGAATATGCTGTGAGATTGATGTGAAACGCACTCTGTGAGGAGAAATGCCACGTTACCATAAGAGTGGGGTAAAATAGTAATTGCCCCTTATTTTCTTTTGACCAAAAAATGGACATAAGCGTGAATGGGTCAACGTGTCAGACCCAAAAACACTCTAAACAGCATAGATTGTTGGTCCCCAACAGCCATAACTTATCCCCAAAATATCTTATACACATCTTACAAGTCCTAGTCACTGCTTTAAAGCTCCCATAGATCGTACCAACCCACATTAAATGGACTAGGGTTCAAAACATAAATAAAAAAATAAAAATAAGAAAGGTGAACAGTGAATTGATATTCATTCCATCAGAAACTCTATCCAAATATGACATGCTTTATGAGACATAAAATTAAGCCACAACAGGAGGTCGTGTTTTTGAATTCAGAAATATAAAAATACATTTTTAGTTTCCGTTATGAAAAAAGAATATTACACAATCAGAAAAGGAGATTTTATTTAATTTTTTTTTTCAAATGAACAATGAGACCCACATTCCTGAAATCATCAAAAAAAAAAAAAGGAAAGAATACAAATTCAACGTTGGAGAATCCGTGATAAAGACTAGCACTTGGGTCCAAAAACTTCTACCTGAAAATAAATAAATAAATAAAGTCGTAGTGGTGAAACAATTAAGTGGAGGGAGCAAAACAGTAGTGGGCCGGGGTAGTTGAAACCCATAACCCGATAAATTTGATGCACAGCCATAAAAGTCAATTCAACAGTGGTTCACTCTTCACAGCATCAAATCCACTCTCATCAATTGGCATTAGATTAGGGCTGGCACAAATGTTATGTGGGAAGCACTTGTTTGTTTGTTTGTATGACTGAAACGATCTGAATGGAGTTGGATAACTTTGGTTGTTGGCCCCAAACAGTCTGTGCTGTTTAAAGAATTTATGAGTTGGGCGGCTTCATTTATTCACGCCCATGTCTTTCTTTTTGGTTAAAATAAAATAGGAGCCAATTACTAATTTACCCATTCTCAGTATGAAACTGATGCCCACAATAAACTAGGATCTGCCATCTATGAGATGTGTGGTATCAGATCATGTTGGTCGGTTGTCAGATAATCCGGACTGATCTGAATGACATAGAAGAAAAAGGATGAAAGCTCTAACTGGGCCGGGCCCACCTACTTGGGCATCTCTCCTTGTTAGCTGGCGAGATAGCGATGGCGTCCTTAACTTTTTATTCCAACTTAGTAAATATAAAAATTAAAATTGGAGATGCGGGGTATCGATCCCCGTACCTCTCGCATGCTAAGCGAGCGCTCTACCATCTGAGCTACATCCCCATTGCGTTATATAATTCGACGTTATTATATAAGTATTTCTAAATAATTTTTTTTCCTGATATGGTAAAATGTCGAGTTGAGTGGCCCAAATCGAGTATGATCGAAGATGTAACGATGGATGATATTCCATTCTCTCTCATGAGAATGGGAAGGGCGTATATCCCAATTCCATCTCTTTTATCTCCCATAAAACATAAGAGTGTAGACTCGGCAAAAAGGTTGACCCAACCCAATCCGAAAAAACAAGGTTAGGGTCTGATATTTAGCTACCCGAAAGTGAAAATGACCCAACCCGAAAAAACTGGGTTGGGTCATGAGTTAACCCACTGACCTGATTGTCAAGTCTAATTGGAATTATTTATGCATTGTTAGAAGTTTTCACTCTTTAATTTTTTCTATTTAGCTTTTACTTTTTATTGTTTACTCTTTAGATTGTTAAATGTTCAAATTTTTTATTTTATATTTAAAATTTTAAGGTTAATTCTTTTAATTTTGACATTTTTCATATAATTTTTGTTTATTTTTTTAAATTTCAATTATTTTTTGGATGACCCGAATTGACCCATGAATCAACCCTAACCCAAACATTTAGGATTAGGATCTAGCATTTGACAACCCAATCCAAAATTCAATCCGACCCCAAAGTACCTTACCACCCAACTGCCAGGTCTATAAGAGTGGTTTCATGTGGGGTGTTGCTTAACAATCGTTGCCTTGTTACTCTTATAAGAAGAGGATCCAACTTATAATGTATAATAGATGAGGTAATCACCCAATAAACGATTTCAAAAAGAGGTCTTACGTAAGCACATATGGCATTTATGAGGTTTCCTATGCCAACAATAATTATCCGAGTAGTAGGAAATTGTCTAGTACTAAAATGAATAGAGATTGTCTAATTATATTTCGCTTATTCTTTTGGATGATAATTATATATTTATTAGAACCTGATGTAACCGTTTATTGTAACGTACCAATTTTTTATTTTTTTGGCTAAATACCTCATCATTTGACCTGTTCCCAGGAGAGGATGGTGGAGCTCCCTGGTGGTGAACTGTTTGGGGGAGAGCTATGCCGAGCTGCCCGCGTTATACCGAGCTGGGGAGAGCTATGCCAAGCTCCTTGATGGCGAACTGCCCGGGGGAGAGCTATGCTGAGCTCCCTGGTGGTGAGCTACCTTGGAGGACTCGTCATTTGACCTGCTCCTACGCGGCTTGTAACTCAGAGGATGGTGGAGCTCCCTGGTGTAGCGCGACCCGACTGCCCTCTGCATGAGGTGATATCCTCTCCTTTGTAGGCAGCGGGAGCTGAGGGACCTGCAAGAACTCCATCTTTTCCTCCTCTTTGTAGGTGGTGGGAGCTGAGAAACCTGCGAGAACTCCATCTTTCCTCCTCTTGGTAAGCGGCGGGAGCATGAGGAACCTGCGAGAACTCCATCTTTCCTCCTCTTTGTAGGCGGCGGGAGCTTGAGGAACCTGCGAGAACTGAACCAGGGGGCCCGGGGGTATTTACTCGGCGGGGACTATCCGATGCCTAAGTTAGCACTCTGATTGTAGAGGGCTTGAAGATGATATTAGAAGAATGAGAGACCTAGAGAGCAGGGATTATCTCCATTTTTTCATTCTCCCATCCTTGGCTTTGGGGTCGGAGTCCTTATATAGCGGTGCCCAATCACATCAAGCGTAACCACCACTGCCCTAGCCATTACTG